GTGGCCCTCGTGCATTGCACGCGCTGTCCAGCTGCACGGAGCCACATGCACGCGTGTTGCAGGTGGCCGGCGCGCTGCCCCCCGCTCAGGTGTCCCCCCCGCAGGTGTTCGCGGAGCCGCCGCCGCCGCTGCAGCCGCTGCAGCTCTACCCCGCGGCGCCGCTGGGGCTGCTGGCGCTGCCGCACGCGGCGCTCGCTCGCACGCAGTCGTCCCCCGCCAGCGCCGGCCTCAAGGCCCCCGCGCCCGAGGCGCCCCCCAAGCACCTCTTCACTACAGGTACCTCCCGCGGGCTGCCCCGTGTCCCCAAGGGTGGCCCCGTGCCAGGGGGCACCGGGTCCCGTGGGTGGCCCCAGGGTGCCCCGTGTCGTGGTGGCTCTGGGAGGGGCCGCGTGGGGAGGTGGCCCTGTCCTGTGGGGTGTCCTGTCCCTTGGGGGTGGTCCTGTGCCATAGGGCGCCCTTGTGTCCCAAGGGTGGCCCTGTCCCATGAGTGTCTYGGTCCCGTGGGATGCCCCATCCCATGAGGAGTCCGAGGTCCTGCCTGTCCCCCTGGGCTGTCCCACGGGGTGTCCCTGTCCCAGGAGATGCCACTGCCCTGCAGGGTCCCCCGTCTCTTGGGTGCCCCGGGGACCTCCTTGTCCCTTAGATATCCTTGTCCCATGGGACACCATGCCTCGTGGTGCATCCCTGTCGCACGGGCTACCCTGGGGCCCCATCCAAAGTGGCCCTGGAGGCGCCCGTGTCCCCCAGGACCCTCCCTGCCCAGAGTCCGCCACGTCCCTGGGGTGGGGGGACCCCGAGGCCCCGGCCCAGGCGCCCTCCGCCCGCGCAGGCCTCGTCTACGACACGTTCATGCTGAAGCACCAGTGCGCGTGCGGCAACACCACGGTGCACCCCGAGCACGCCGGCCGCATCCAGAGCATCTGGTCCCGGCTGCAGGAGACGGGGCTGCTGGGCCAGTGCGAGGTGAGGGCGGCGGCGCTCGCTGCATCGGGGCTCTGCGCGGTGTGTGGGGGGGGTCCCCTCACCCGGCCCCCCCGTCCCTCCGCCAGCGCATCCGGGGCCGCAAGGCGACGCTGGAGGAGATCCAGACGGTGCATTCGGAGCACCACGCGCTGCTCTACGGCACCAGCCCGCTCAACCGGCAGAAACTCGACAGCAAGAAGCTCCTGGGTAGGTGCCCGGACGCCAGGGTGCCCTTTCGGACCCCGCCTTGGGGACAGCGYGTGCCCCGTGTCACCGCGTGCTCTGCCCCAGCAGGTCCCATCAGCCAGAAGACGTACGCGGTGCTGCCGTGCGGGGGCATCGGGGTGAGTGTGCGGCGGTGGCCGCGCGGGGACGTCGACGATGCGCCCCGTCCCTCTGACGTCCCCCGCCACGCGCGGTCCCCGCGCAGGTGGACAGTGACACGGTGTGGAACGAGATGCACTCGTCGAGCGCCGTGCGCATGGCCGTGGGCTGCCTCGTGGAGCTGGCCTTCAAGGTGGCCGCCGGGGAGATCAAGGTGAGCGCGCGCGGCCTTCCCTGCAGCCCGCTGCTGCTCCTGCACGCTCCTGCACGCTCCTGCACGCTTGTGCGCGTGTGTGCACACTCGTGCGTGTGTGCACAGCACCTSTGCGTCCCTGCGGGCCCTCCTGCACGCTCACATGTGTCTGCACTGCTCTCCTGCACTCTTCCCTGTGTGCACGTGGTGGTCCTGCATGCTTGTACACGTGGGTGCACACTTGTGCATGTGTGCACAGCGCCTGTGCGTCCCTGCGGGCCCTCCTGCACGCTCACATGTGTCTGCACTGCTCTTGTACACTCTTCCCTGGGTGCACGTGGTGGTCCTGCATGCTTGTGCATGCTTGTGCAYGCTTGTGCACGCTYGTGCGTGTGTGCACAGCACCTSTGCRTCCCTGSGGGCCCTCCTGCATGCTCACATGTGTCTGCACTGCTCTTGTGCATGTTTCCATGGGTGCACGTGGTGGTCCTGCACGCTCATACAGGCTTGTGCATGCTTGTGCATGTGTGTGTGTGCTTGTGCACATGTGCACGGTGCTTGTGCATCCCTGGGGGCCCTCATACACTCTCACGTGTGTCCCCCCTGCTCTTGTGCATGTTTCCCTGGGTGCACGCAGTGGTCCTGCACRCTCGTGTGTGCACGCGGCTCTTGCACACGTGTTCCTGGGCGTGCACCGCGTGTGCGCTCCCGTGCGTGCGTCCCACGCGCGTCCCTCTGTCGTTGCAGAACGGCTTCGCTGTCATCAGGCCCCCGGGGCACCACGCCGAGGAGTCCACGGCCATGTGAGTGGCAGGGGCCCCGGCGTCCGGGGCCGGCGCTGGGCTGGCGGGGGACACCCGGCRCTGCCGGCTGCCTCTCATCACCCCCCCGCCACCTCCTCTCGCCAGGGGCTTCTGCTTCTTCAACTCGGTGGCCATCTCGGCCAAGCTGCTGCAGCAGAAGCTCAGCGTGGGCCGCATCCTCATCGTGGACTGGGTAGGGGGCCCGGGCGCGGGGACGGCGCTGGGGACACGGCGCGGGGACGCGGCGCTCAYGGCGCTCCTCGCCCCGCCAGGACATCCATCACGGCAACGGCACCCAGCAGGCCTTCTACAGCGACCCGCACGTGCTCTACATCTCCCTGCACCGCTACGACAACGGCAACTTCTTCCCGGGCAGCGGGGCGCCCGAGGAGGTGAGCGCCAGGGCGGGCAGCAGCCCCGGCCGGGCGGGCCCAGGCGTCCGGGCGCCCACGCGCGGCTCTGCCCCCCCAGGTCGGCAGCGGCTTGGGAGTGGGCTACAACATCAACATCGCCTGGACGGGCGGCGTGGACCCCCCCATCGGCGACGTCGAGTATCTCACCGCCTTCAGGTAGGCGC